GGGGCTGTGCGGGTGGGGGCCCCGCGGTGTCCTGCCGTGAGATCCTCGGCTCGTCCGGAGAAATAAGACTGTTTTCTTTTTTATTTTGTCGTGGTTCCTCGGAACCGCGATTTCACCTGGTGAGCGAAGGTTTAGGAGACATCGACGGGATGTCTCTGACCCTAGTTGTCTCCCTTTGCTTTGCCGCAAGCGTTTGGTAGTGGCCCATGAGTCTGGGCAGGGCGATCGTTAGCATCGGGGTAGACACGTGTGGCTCTCGGTTCCTCAGGCTCCTCTTGTCTTGCTGCACCTTACCTCAGTTTACCTGACTCTGAGGACTTGAAAATTCATTGCAAGTTACAGGCGAATATGGGAGCTTGTGGCACACCTTCTAAAAAGAATTCTGTCTGTTAAGTAGCAGCATGCTCTAAAACTGTCTACCACTAGTAGTGGCTGTGAGACAACAACTTGATCTGCCTGTTGAGCTCAAATCCTGACATCTCACCCACCTGTTGCTAGCTGCAGGCCGAGCTGAGCAGCCTGATGCTTCTGTCTGAATTGCCATTGTTTCTGTGGGTACAGAATGTTTATTGCTAAATGTGTTGCTTTAAGATTGACCGTGTGCTGCATCTTTGTGGGGGTGGAGAGCAGATGGGCAGGGGAAGGACAGGTGAGGTAAGGAGAAAGTTTGCCCTGGGGGTCACCGGCTGGGAGCACTGTGGGTGTGAGTGTTGCTGTTTCTGCAGTGTGTGGGCTGAGAAGGTCAGTGTATCCCCGTTTGGGAATGAATGTTGCTGTTCAAACTGTTGGACATGTAATAGAGCTTAAATTGGCTACAAATTTCCTTGACTTGTTACCATGTTGCTTTCTATGATGTGTTTAGTAGCTATAATTTTGTGCCTATAAATTTGTGCTAATTATGCTTGGTATATTTTTATTTGGACTACTTTAAGTTAAAAGGTTTAGTAAGCATTTCTGATTTACTTGTTTAGGTTCCAGAACAAGGTGGCATGTCTTTATGATCTCATTTTGCAGGTGGGCTGCCAGAAAGCATTGTCAAGAACAAGATCTTAGTGATGTGTGGGAATCATTAGCATTAAAATTAAACACCTGTTAATCATCCTGACCGTGAGGCTTTCCGACTTAGTAACTGTTAGCCTGCAGTTAGAGTCTTAACAGGTTTGAAACATACATTTCAGTATGTTTCTTAAAATACTGGGGTTGCAAGAGCAGCCTTCATGACAGCAAAGTTAGGACGGTCCTGGTCTGTAGTTCTGGGAATCCTGTGTGACAGCAGTAAAACAAGGATTGACACATTAGGGGATTTTCAGGAGGTTACCCTGTGACATACCCCCAGTAAGCTTGTCTGTTCTTAAGAGCAGACATATGCCTTTTCTGTTAACTGTGTTATTTTTCTGTATGTATTTGAAGGGTGCAAACAGCTATGGACAACTTGGTCTTGGTCATAAAGAGGATGTGCTGGTACCTCAGGCACTGAAAGATGTTTCCTGCCAATGTCAAGACATTGCAAGCATTGCTGGAGGAGGGGGACATTCCGCAGTTATCACTGGTAAAAACGTTGCACTTGCATGGGGTGTATGGTTCTAATCACGTTTTATTTCTGTTTCCCCTGTTGGTTCGGTGCTGCCACCTCTCTGTGGCTGCTGTTTCTCAGCAAGTACAATCTGTGGTTGCAAAACAGGTTCTTCCCCTGCCAATTAACTCAATATACTGGGGAGACATTCCTGGTTGACATATATCATGTGGTTCCTTTGTGGCTGTGTGAGGAATGTTTCTTCAGCTGTTTCATGTAATACAAGGTGGCCAAATTTTCTGTATTGAGCATGGGAGGTGTGGGAGGGAGAGAAGTCAAGTGAGAGGTTGTCCAGCCTAGAGAAGTTTTAAGGTAAGGAGCAGAAGATAACTTCTGGTCTTAGAAAGGTTCTGCTGTGTGCCATAGCTAATTGTGGGTGAGAAGGAATACAGGCAGATGTATCATGCATCTTAGTGTGAGAGGTGCCTGTCTTACCATATGGGTCGTCTCCCTTGACAAATCCAGCTCTCCATTGCTGTAGTTGTTCATAGTTGTTTCTGATGCATCAGAAACCACTGCTCCTCTTACTTTTTGCTTGATTGCAGTGCCTGAAATGACACATAATAGTCACTGTCCTTTTTTGTCACAGGATCTCATGGGTGTATACTTGTCTTTCTAGTCTGTGAAGTGGAACGTGTTTTGTTTTTTCTTTCAGGTGAGGGACGACTCTTTGTATGTGGCCATAACAGAGATGGTCAGTTGGGACTGAATCACACAGAGGATGTTCTGCGTTTTACGTTGTGCACTGCCCTGTCTGGCTTTTGTGTGAAACAAGTTGCCTGTGGCTGGGATTTTACAATCATATTAGTAGGTAAATCTGTCTCTCTAAGAGCTGAAGAAATACCTTGATGTAGAAAACATACTGAAAGTTCCACATTGCTATTGCTTGTGTGATGTGAGGGGTCTGGACAAGTTTGAGAAGAGGCACATGGGAACCTCAGGAGATTCAATGAAGCCAAGGGCAAAGTGCTGCACCTGGGTCTGGGCAGCCCCTGCTGTCAAATCCGGGCTGGGGAATGAACAGATTGAGAGCAGACCTGTAGAGAAGGACATGGGGATGCTGGTGGATGAGAGGCTGGACAGGAACAAGCAATGTGCACTTGCAGCCCATAAAGCCCATTGTATCCTGGGCTGCATCAAAAGCAGCATGACCAGCAGGTTGAGGGAGGGGATTCTGCTCCTCTACTCTGCTCTGGTGAAAACCCACCTGGAGAGCTGCATCCAGCTCTGGGGTCCCCAGCACAGGAAGGAGATTGATCTGTTGGAGTGAGTCCAGAGGAGGGCCATGAAGATGCTCAGAGGGATGGAGCACCTCTCCTACAAGGACAGGCTGAGAGAGTTGAAGCTGTTCAGCATGGAGATCTGGGTTCTGGGGTAACTTTATTGCAGCCTTTCAGTACCTAAAGAGGGCCTCAAGAAAGCTGAAGAGAGACTTTTTACAAGGGCAAGTAGTGATAGGACCAGGGGTGATGGCTTTAAATTGAAAAAGGGAAGGTTTAGATTAGATATTAGGAAGAAATTCTTTACTGTGAGGGTGATAAGGCACTGACACAGGTTGCCCAGAGAAGCTGTGGCTGCTCCATCTCTGGAGGTGTTCAGGGCCAGGTTGGATGGGGCTCTGAGCAACCTGGTTTAGTGGAAGGTGTCCTTGCCCATGGCAGGGAAGGTTGGAATAGGTGATCCTCTAAGCCTCTTTCAACCCCAAACCATTCCATGATTCTGGCACTCACAGGTTTTAAGCTACTAACCTTGCGAGCTAAATTACTCCATGTTCCTTGTATCCCAGTGAACTTCAGACCTTTACTGAACATGGTGTGTAGGACCAGAAGCCTAAGGCCTCGGGGGCTTTGGAACAGGATATGTTAGGTCATTTTTTGAGCTGCTTGACTGTGTTATTTTGCTTGTTAGAATGTTGGAGTGCTTTGCTTTTGCTCACAGATTTACTGATCTGGCTCGTTTTTTACAGGAGGTGGCCTAGTTCTGTCCTGTGGGTCAAACTCTTTTGGACAATTAGGAGTTCCTCAAATTTCAGGTCCGTGCTTGATTCCACAAAAGATTGAGGTAAAGATTAAAAAAGGGTTGTACTTTGTATTGCTTCCAGCAGCTTACAAAGGTCATCTGACCTCAGTGGGCTTTAAGCCAGGCTCTTCAACTAATTTTTATGGAGCCTATTTGTTACAGTAAACCTACAAAATAAAGGCCTAGAGATGGTCATCGACCCAGAATTGAAAAGCTAAGGCTGCTTTTCTTGTATGAACAAGTTGACTACTTCTAACAGAAAGTTGTCTCTTTCACTAGAGCTTATTGCATTTCATAATGTATTTTGATAGCATCTGCAGAATGAGTTGTCTGCTCAGATGATGTAAAGTGATACTAAAGGTAGTGAAACTGCAAATTTACTCCAACTGAAGATGTGCCTCAAGTTTGTAAGATGCTAGATAGTTTTGCTATGTGAAGGGTATGTGCCTTCACTGTACCTTGTTGGAGGTTTGTGTTTAATAGCTCTAAACAAAATAAACCAACAATAATCCACCCTTGGAAAAATCAAACTACATGATGGAGTTCAGCAAAGTTAGCTATGCCATTTCTTTTGATCTGTTTTTCTTGTGCTTGTGCAACAGTTCTGATTTTTAAGTATATGTTGGCTTTTTTGAGTGTATAACTGTCAAAATTCCTTCCCCCAAAATGAGGATTATAGTATTATTTCTTGGCTGTATAAACATAAGCTTGGTCCTCAAAATAATAGTAGTGTGAGAAAGTATGTAGCTGCAGGAAAACTATCTGAGAGAATATCACTTTTGAGATTGAAATGATTTTTACTTTCGTATGTAAAGGAGCTGACAAATACATTGACTCACTTATCCAGCTTGCAGTATTTACCAGCAGTACCAGCTTCCAAGGAAATAGGGTGGAAAAGTTAGGTAATAAGTTCTCTGCTGTCCAGTACCTCCAGTTATAAATGCTGGACTGTGACTCATGTTCCTGTAACTGCATGAGGTTCAGTAAGGCAAAGTGCTGGTTCTGCACTTGGGACGCAATAACCCCATGCAGAGCTCCAGGCTGGGGAAGGAGTGGTGAGAGAGCTGTTCATCAGAAAGGGGCTTGGGAGTGCTGGTGGCAGCTGACCAATATGAGCCAATAGTGTGCACAGGTGGCCAAGAAGGCCAGTGGCATCTGTGTGACAGCAGGAGTAGGACAGTGATCATCCCAAGTGTTTAAGAGGCCTCTGGTTCTGATGCTGGAGGATATGGTTCAGGGGTTACAGCAGAGTGGCAGATTAATGGTTGGACTTGATGATCTTAGAGGTCTCCTCCATCCTTGATGATTCCATGATTTTAAGTAAGTTTCTCACAGTAGTTCTAGTTTACATTGTAGTTCCTTATTTGGAGAACAGTACTGAAACTTTTCTATCTGCATGAGCTCTCGTGTCTAATGAAAGTGATAAGTCCAGAGGGGGAAGTATTCTCAGGCAAGAAATTTTGCTTTGTGGCTCATGCCAGCTACTCCTTTTTTTGCCTTTTTAATGTAGGGGAAGGAGGACAGCTGATTGATTCCCTAGATAACCTTTACTGAATAGGGGTTAATTCACCTGACATTTCTGTGCCCTTGGTCTTTCCTGGGACCATTCTTTCCAGTATGGTGCCTTGAAAATGGTAGTATTGACAGTGCTAATCTGAATCTCTCTCCTCCCTGGCCATGTAGACCATTCATTCTTCTGGAACATTTTCTCTTTCAGTTGGTATCCTGTTAAATGCTTGGGCTTGAAGCCATCTATTTTAAATAGTGCTACATCAGTGAGAAGAATAATAAATTGGCAGAGTACTCAGAAGTGGAGAAGTGTCAGAATTGAGCTATCTTGTGCAAACCTAACTCGTTTTATGCACACATGACTTGGTGTAGTGTTGTTTTGAGGGATCATGTTGGATAACCTTTGGTGGTGTAGGTGGTACTATCAGTGGTGTTGTTGGTGATTGCAGGACTTGGTAAGGCTGAACAGCTTGATGGATCTTACTACTGCCCATCACCAGTATTTGCTGTGGAGGTTTCGGTGCAGTTCTGGTGGAACACTGAGTTAAAATTAGGAAATAAACATATTTGGATTGCCAAGGTTTCTTCTTTCATGTGAAGATTTTGACTGTGGCTTTTTAATTTCCTGCCACAAAACTGTTCATGCAGTTGCTTTGCCTGATTGATCTTTCACTTGTGGAAGGTGTTTCTACTAAATTTTATTGGCCAAAATATACTTCCTTTGTGATAGAAAATGCTGATATGCATTGTGACATCCAGGCTGGAATTGTGAAAACTGTTTTCATAATGTTCCACTTCTATTTGGCATATTTTGTTTTTAGAGGCACTAAATGCAAAAAGCAACTAAGATTCATTTTTTTAATATTTGAGCAGTCTCTCAAAGAGAAGGTGGTGAGTGTTGCTGCAGGACTGAGACATGCCCTTGCTGCTACAGGTAAATATGTCCTAATTTTAACATCTTTTCAGTAACAAATGGAATTTTAATGACTTGGAAGGTAAGAGGGAGGGAAAGAAGATGACATTTATTTTAGCTACTATTTATTTAAAATATCATAGGGAAAATACACCTGAAAGTCATATACTGTTAAGATTTTGGTAGAAATTAACATCAATAGTGAATGTGCTTGAAACATCTTCCTGAAAAATGGTGAAAAACTGCTCTTCAAGAAAGAGTGATGGTTTATTAACAAGCTAATTTTCTTAACTTACTGTTTTCTCCTGTTCCGAAGCAAAACATAAAGGGAGCTTTTTCAGGAAAAAAGATTTCTGATCAATCAAAATATCTTCTTAGGATCTGATTTCATTATAATATGCAAAATAATTTTAAGTTTGTATAAGAGACTTGAAATTGGAACTGCAGCTAAAATGTGGCTTTTTTTTTTTTTTCAATGATCTAATTGAAATTGACACCTGGAAAAATTGGAAAAATCACAAGAATGAAACTTTTACTAGGGGGAGGGGAAGGGATCTAGTTAGTTAATTTCACTCCCATACCTTCAAAATCTGTTCCTGACTCTCTTCTCCTACTGTCTACTGTGTGTATGCTTGGGAGGGTCATAAGGTCTAAATATTTCTCCTGATGTTATTAGAGACTTAGAGTTTGGTCATGGTATGACTGTAGGAATCAAAACCTTCCAGCTGGCACGGAAATTGAGGAACAACAAACTATACCTGCTCTTGTATTTGGTTTAGTTCTGCATGAACTCTAGTATGGATTCCAGGTAGTGGAGCTGAAGGTGCAAAGGAGATGCTTGGAAGAATTAACTGGAATCTCTGGTGCTTGCATGAATGATGGGAATTAAGCTTCCCTGTGCTTTTCAACTCATGAACATCTTGATTCAGAGCTAGATCAAGTTTCTGAGAGCTCCTAAGGAGAAAATGACTGACTTCATTTAGTCGTGCTGGAGTGCACAAATTGGCATAAAAAGTGGGAAAGAGAAGAGAAAGTGCAATGAACTCTGTATCCTTTCCTGTGACATCATTCCTGAGACATTGCAATGATGGGACTTTTGTTACTGAGCCTTGAGTAACTTCCTAATACAGCCCTCAGAGCTGAGTCAGGTTGCCTAGTACCTTTTTATTTACCTGTGTAGTGAGACTACAACTGTTTGTTGCTTGTTGACTTCACCAGGGTTATCTGTGTGTTTTTTGGTGTAAAGGCCTTTTAAATTGCAATTTGAATCAGTGAAAATGCATTGAATGTACCTTTAGTTAATGAGTAAGTGATTTTGTTGGTGGTTGATGTGTTTTAATCTCTTTTATTTGTGTTTACTCTGTAAAGACAGTGGTTTGGTGCTTCAGTGGGGAACAGGAATGGCATCTCAGGCAAAGCGTGCGAACCAAGGGAAAACCCTCCCCCCCTTCTTGACAGCAAAGGAACCCTGTGAAGTGACAGGTAATCCAGGCATCTGCTTCCTTTGGAAGGGATGGTAGAGCAGAAATATAATTTGGAGTTATACGTATCATCCTTTTTATAAAACCACCTGATACTATGAACGTGTAGAATGGTCATGCAAGATTATAATCTATGGGGGGAAAATGACACTGAGTCTTAAAATGTCTGTGGCCCAAACCCAGAGGCTTTTGTTATAAAAATCATCATCATCCTGTTATACTTCTGTGCATGTCTATGTGAAATGATACCTGCTGTACAAATTTTATGAAGCTAATTTTTCTCCAGGCCTGGAAGATATAAAGGTGAAGACAGTTGCTGCAGGCTCCTATCATTCGGTGTCACTCGCAGGTAGGCATTAGGTGCAGAAGTGGAAGTTCCCATCTCTGCCCATAAAGGTTCCTCTGCTTTCAAAATGTTTGTCAATTTAAACTGGTAACATTTGATCTGGCCTAGTTAGTGCTGGGTTGTTTTGTAATAGTTTTGGATTCTGAGAACATTCCTGTTTGAAAGAGCTGGATTCATGTTTTGAATTCTCTGAATTTTGTCTGTTTCCTTGGGGTCAGGTGTGACTTAGCCCTTATGCCATTAAGGACTCTTTACTTAATGGTTAGAAACTCTGAAAGGATTTGTTGAATCATGTGGTTGGGTAAGTCTCTGGAGCTGCAACATGATGGGTAGCTCTGGATAGTTGACTGCTGGAACCAGTGCAACCCTTAGCCCATGGAGAAAGGGTTTGCTGGGTGTCTATCCCAAGAAAGACAGCAGAATAGCCACAGCAGTGTGAGCTAATGCCTCTGCATGGGGCAGTGCTGTGCAGAGATGTGAGATGGTCTGGAGCTATCTTAGGTGGCTCTACTGTAACTGTGCAGGTCTGTGTAAGGTGATGTAAGAGCACAAAATTTATTTAAAGAGTTAGGAATTTGCTTTAATCTGTTAGGCACTGTCTGCCATATGTTCTTTGATCTTTAGGCAGTGCTCCCATGCTGGAGGATTAAGTATCCAGTAATGAAAGTCTAATAAAGATTTTTTTTCATCCTGACAGATTGGAAGAAGGGGAAACAGAATAGCTTTTCATGCTGTAATTTTACAGTTTTGAAGTGTGTAAAATATATTGAACCTTATGAAGACTAATCTTTGCCAAACTTTATAGGAAGAAGTTCTTAGCAGATCTGCAGCCATCTGGTACCTCTGTCATCATTAAAGGAGCACTGGAGTATTTGCTTATGCAGATCTATAGAGGTTTAGTCGTATGGGGAGATGTTTCAAGATGTAAATTAGACTGAGTTCTCAGATGCAAAGTGTATGCACGATTAGCAAAGAAGAACTGTAAGAACAAATAAAATCTACTTTAGATTATTAGCACTCTATATTTTCAGGGAGTGAACAGATTAATCTTTCATGCTTTTGCTTTTTGTTTAAGAGAGCAGTCTATCTGGCAGCAGGGGGACCAAGATTGACAAAGTGCCAAAGGCTTTAATAATGTGATGCTATTGCTGCCCTTCATCCTGCAAGACAGTTGTCTCTTAATATACTTTGTATTTTAAAGATACTTGATATGGTAGAGATACTACTGCAGGGTGTAGTATTTAAATGGGCATTTTTTTTCTCAGAGTGTCTTGCACTGTGATGCAGAGTTCTTTTCTCTGTTCCATGTTTGGAACACAGCTGTTGAAGTGGGTTGTTGCAAAAGTGAATGGCAGTTCCTTTGAACAGAGGATGGTAGTCTACTTGTATCCCAACTGACCGGAACCCTCCAGTGGTGAGAATATGGTGCGAAGTCTTAGTGTCTAAATTTTTGTTAAAACCTACTCAAGAAATGACATAGGGGTTGTGCATGTGACATTTCCCAGGATAAAGCAAATGCACCTTCTAGAGAAAAGAAAGGGAGGTGATGGTGGTAGTGTGTGTTAGTTGTGGGTCATGAATGACTATAATGTTTTCTTTGTTGAAACAAACTCCTTCCATCACCTCGTTTGTTGTTTTATTTCTCTCCAGAAGGTATACGTACTTTATGCTGGCAAGGAATTTATCAGTTTTAGTGAAGAATTTGGGTGAACAATTGCTTGACATGTTTTTCCTTTTCATTTCAGTTTTATTGTTTTAATGAGGAACATGGGAAGTCCTGCAGATGACTGTCAATAACATGTTACTTGACAAGTATTGGCTTTTCCCCCTCTCCTGCTCCTTGCTTATTTTTCACCAGCAGTAGTGTAGTGGAACTCTTCTGGCTCATTCTTTCTCTTACTGTTACCAAATCGAGATATTGTAGCTTAAGTTCTACTTTTTTTTTATTTTCCCTCTGAAAGGTTTTGTGTCCTTTGCTTAAAAAAGGACATTAATGTGCTGGAGCAAGTCCAGCCAAGGGCAATGAGGTCAGAAAAGGTCTAGAACACATGAGGAAGGGCTGAGGGAGTTGGGTTTGCTTAGTCTTGAGAAGAAGCTCAGGGGTGACCTCATGGCTCTCTACAACTAACTGACAGGGGGTTGTAAAGGGATGGGGAATGGTCTCTCCTGACATGGCTGCAGGAAGAGGACCAGAGGGAATGGTCAAGAGCTGAGACAGGGGAGAGTCAGATTAGATGTTAGGAGAACTGTTTTCCCTGTTAGGGTGTTCAGGCACTGGAATAGGTTTCCCAGGAGGGTGTTGGAGTCACCATCCCTGGAAGTGTTTAAGAGGCATCTGGATGTGACACTGGAGGATATGGTTTAGGGGTTTCAGCAGAGTGGCAGGTTAATGGTTGGACTCGATGATCTTAGAGGTCTCCTCCAACCTTGATGAGTCTATGATTTACTTATGCCATGCTGCTGGTAAAGTGTGCAGAACTGACCTGAGATTTCCTGATGCCGTGAGTGTTGTGAATGTGTGCTCCAAACAATTTGATGTTGGAACTTGCGTGACTTCCAGTCTTTCTGAACCCATGATAATGTACTTCATGTGTGCCAGATTTATTTCTTACACTTGCAGCAATGCAGACTGGCGAAGAACTTCAGGGAGACCTGACACAGCTTGTGTTTGTTGTGGATTATATTTTTTTGTTATGGACTCCTAGAACCAGGGATGAGTGGTTTTGTGCTGGAAAGGTGGAACTAATGTTAGGTAGTATCTGCAGGAGGACTCATCTGAACAGTTATTCTGTTAGTGTCCATTGATTATTAGACTATGAGCAACTCCAGCTTGCATTTATGTCAAGTATTGTGGATGTATCTGTAAATAAGAGTTATCCCTGTGGTTGGAATCCTGGAGTGTGCACTTGCACAAATGCCTGTTCTCGAAAAGGGGTGGGGAAAACTTACAGAAGTCTCTCACTTGTTGTCTGGTATTTTTTTGAGGTGTGATAATATTTTACTTTTGCCTTGTGGTGGGTGGTGCCTGCTATAGTTATATGTTCATGGCTGTGTGTCCAGTTCCTTTAGGAAGTCACTGTGCCAGGTGAGACAAGAAGCATTGGACTGTCCCTGCTCTGGGGGATTTACTGAATTTGCTCAGGCTGAAGAAGGCAGGATTGTTATGAGCAGAGCTAGGAGGCTCTTGTAGAGAGCCTGGGAGACTAATGCAGAGCAGGAGCAGCCAGCCAGACTTTGAAGAGTCCCCAGTACTAGAGGGGAGTTAAATTATTTGCTGCGTCCAGAAAGTTATTTACTGGATTGAATCAAAGCTTTGGAGTGGAGATAAAAGCTGGTCTGCAAGGGCAGAGTGGTCTGAGTAGGACTGCTCAGTGAGTGTCTCATAGAATACTTTGACTTCTTTTTCTTCAGAGAAGTTGACTGCTGTGGTTAGTTTTCTAATAAAAATTAGTCTTAGTTCTAAACATCTTTCAGTGACCTTTGAGAAGCTCACAGTAGAAATGAGGTCTAGGCAGTTTGACCTGAAAGCTCAATTTTCTTCAGGAAGTCTATGTAGCCCTCAGAAGACAATGTTGTTAAGGCCCTTGCAGATGTTTCTGATATCCTAGTTGCAGTGTGCACACCTGTGGTAAAGAGTGGTGGGAAATAGCATACAGTGAAATCACAAATCGAATGAAATGGTCTTTCCTCATCATCACTGTTTTCTGTGAATTGAGACAGAGCCTGTATTTGGTGGTGGTAAATGTCTATCATTTCCAACAAGTTTTCTTTCTCTGTCTGTTGCAGATGAAGGACATCTGTATGTCTGGGGCAGCAACAAACATGGGCAGCTAGTGAGCAAAGAGATCTTCCTTGCTGAGCCCAAGAAGATTGAGAGTCAGTTTTTCTCACATGAGAAGATTGGAGCAGTTTGGAGTGGCTGGACCCACCTGGTGGCACAGACAGGTAGGCTGTTTAAAAAGCAGTGACATATGGCACCGAAACAGTAAATTGTCTTTGCTGCAGGCCAACAATGTTCTTTCTTACTGGTAAGGACTGGACACAGAGTTTTGTAGTTTCACCTGAGCACCTTCATAAATGCTGCAACACCTACATGTACACACTAGAGAGGTGTGGTCTCTCTGCATCATCAGGTTACTGGTATACCAAATATATATGAGCTTCTAGAGATCATTCTGCTGGGTGAGCTGTGGTATCTTCTTTGGAGAGAAAAGAGTTGGTGGAAACTTGCTTCAAAAATGAGAGGGATGGAAAGATGTTTGCAGCTTCTGAGATACATGACTATTTGGCAGGAAGATGTGGACAAAACTCCTGGGGCACAGGAATTAGGGAGTGGGAAAGATAATCTTGAGCAAGTGTCTGTCTGAAAGGTGTGGTGGCATAAATATATACCATTCCCAGGTTTCCTGGATGTTAGCTCTGAAAGTCTTAACAGGCATAGCCAAGAACCCTCTGTTTCTGCCATCCCAACTGGTCTCATTGCAGTAAGTGAAATAATTTACATGGCTTTGCCCAACTGCATTAACCTTTCTGTCCTTCAAGAATGAGCCTGGCTTTTTGTGTGGCTGTTCTTCAGAAGGGTTTTAAGGACAGGTAAAATGTGTTCAGAAGAAAATCAGTAAATTAAAATGAGCTAACCTGTGTGTGTGTGTGGTCAAACCCAGAAAATGTTTGGAAAAAACAGGTAAAAAGAGGCTTCATTACACTTGAAGAGCATCCCCTGAAGATGAAATGAGACAATTTAATGTTGAAGCTGTATCTTCCTGGGAACCTTTCCAGTGAGGGAAGGTTTGCCACATGTGGGGGGCTGTAGGGTTAGATTCTTTCCTAGGAAGAGATAAGAGGAAGGTTATATAACAGTTAAAGAGGTGGCTGATTGGATGAAGCTCATCTGAATGCATTTGTATTGTTTCTCTGGTGTGAAACACAAAGGCAGGAGAGAAAGGTAAATGGGATGGAAAGGTAAGACGGATTTGAAACTGTTTTGTGGTCTTTGCATATGAACAGGCTGTGCTGTTTGCTTCTTCTGTTGTATGGTGTGGTGTGGTAAAGGCTAACGGGTGGATGAAAGTCTTCATGGAGCAAAAGGATCAGCCAGTGCTTTATTAGCAGGGTTAGCATGTGTACATTTCTGCTTTTGCCTTCTATAAACTAAAGAGTAGATGAGTCACATTGGAGACTGAAAGCCTATTCGACTATCAGGATACAACCTGTGTTGTAGGAAAGCTGCACAAGGAATCACACATGTTACTGATATTTTCTGGATTCTGTGATTATGGGTACTGGTGCAAGGAGTGCTTAGCCTTTAGCTTGGATAGTTTTCTTTAAATGAAGTTTATGCATACCCAAAGGTCAACATCGGCTTGAGTTTTATATTAAATTGGTGCCGTAAATCCTGAAATGGTTGTGCAGTAATGTCACTTACTCTGTGAGAAAAAATGTGTTTTAATTACTGTATACTGTGAAGTCTTGATGCTAGAATTTGAAGGGATGTGATGCATGACTAGAGAAACAAATTGGGTGCTTTCTGTTTCATAGCATTCATTGACATCAAAGTATGTGAGAGAAATGTCATGTGAAAAACCTGCATTACTTCAGCTGTTCTCTTAGCTATTTAAAAGAAATGTCTGAACTCTGATTTTTAGAGGATGATATACTGAATGTTTCAAAGCTCTAATCAATGCCATGTACTGCTTGGAAGCTTTTCAGATGGAGGAAAGGAATTTATCTGAAAATATGTAATCCTTGACTGAAGTGCTTAGTGTCATTTTCACTGGAACAGAAATGGTTGAAAACAGACATTAGTCAGGATAACCTAATTTTAAAAAAGAGAGTCATCTCATCATGGTTTGCCTTGCACCACTATTTCTTAATAGTGCATACCCACTAAGTAAAACTTCCACAAAGTTTTAGTAACTTCATTGTCTCACTTAGCTGATATTTATATGTGACCATTACATCCATGGAGTATTTCAGTAGCTGTTTTTTTTACAACAACAGTAAAAAGTGTATCAAGTGACTAGCAGGGATTTTTTTTTTCTGTGAATGTTTGAAAAGAATTTAAATAGAATCATCAAGGTTGGAGGAGACTTTTAAGCTCATGGAATCCAACCATTAACCTGCCACTCTGCTGTAACCCCTAAACCATATCCTCCTACGCCAGATCCAGATGCCTCTTAAACACTTCCAGGGATGGTGACTCCACCACCTCCCTGAGCAACTTATTCCAGTGCCTGAACACCCTAACAGGGAAAACAGTTCTCCTAACATCTAATCTGACTCTCCTCTGTCTCAGCTCTTGACTATTCCCTCTGGTCCTCTCCCTGCAGCCATGGCAGGAGAGACCATTCCCCACCTCTCTACAACCCCCTGTCAGTTAGTGGGAGAGAGCCATGAGGTCACCCCGAGCCTCTTCTCAAGACTAAACAAACCCAGTTACCTCAGCCCTTCCTCACAGGACATGTGCTCTAGACTTTTTCTGACCTTGTTGCCCTTGGCTGGACTCGCCTCAGAGCCTCAATGTCCTGTTTAAAATGAGGAGCCCACAAATGAACACAGCACTTGAGGTGTGACCTCACCAGTGCCAAGTACAGGGCAATTATCACTGCCCTAGTCCTGTTGCCACAGTCTTCTTGATCCAGGCCAAGATGCCATTGGCCTTCTTGGCCACCTGTGCACACAGTTGGCTCATACTGAGCTGCTGCCACCAGCACTCCCAAGTCCCTTTCTGATGAACAGCACTCAAGCCACAGGTAAATAAATAAAAATAGGTGAACTTCTTACATCTGTATTAGAAAACTGGCCAAGTGATGCAGTGGCATAAGTTATTGCTGAAACTGTTTTTTGTGTTTAGAATTTTAAATCTCTTTGGAAAGCAACAGATCTGAACCTAAATCATCCAGAATAAGATTTTGAATGGCCTTTGGCAGCCTCTAGATACCAGTCAGAATCCTGTGGGATTTTCAGGGGTTGTTCAGTGAGTAGATATAGTGTGAGCTAAGCACTTATCTGTTTCTGAAAAGTCATTTGCTGCATTAAACATGCAGCTAAGTAACTGAAAAATGCAGCACTTGAAAACTTTTCCCTGCATGCAGTTATTCTTCCAGTATTTTTACCTCCTTCTAGCAAAGGAATAAATGCTACTTTGGTTTCCTGGTGCTGAAGTCCTAAACCAGTGATCTCCTAATGTTATTGATCAGTAAAATTTGTTTTGAGCATGCAGCCCCCAATATATTTATTATATTCAGGTACTGTTGTAATATGTTCTGTGAACTATAAAACATCCACAACGGAAATTACACAAAGGATGAGGGAAATATAAAATAATACTTTCAAATATTACTTTATTAACTAAGTAAAAATAATTACTAATTTATTACTAAATTAAAATATTTATGTATAATTTTCTTCCTGCCCTCCAGTGGATTGTCTTGTGCATACCCAGGACTGCCTGCATGCCACTTGAGAGACTACTGATACAAACAATTCCTGCTCACTTTACTCTGGAGAGTTCCATAATTAGTGGAAAAGAAAGCAAACTAGAGTGGGTTTTGGACATGGGAAAATAGAAGGAAGGGATATGCTAGTATAATGCTTTTCTGTTAATTGTGGATGATCGGAACAGACTTTGGTGAGACATTGCAGGGATTTTGCTGCATGAAAGAACAAGTTTTTTCTAATTAATAATCTCATCATGATGTAAAATTGAATAGTTTAACATTTATGTTACTGTATCTGAAGTCTAGTATTGTGTTTTGCACAGAATATAGTTGATTTTAAGAGGCCATTACAAATACTTAGAGTTCTGTTTGATTTTTTTTTTCTTTTTCTAGAATGTTAAACCTCGTCAGAGTAAGTAATAATTAAAATCTTGTAATTGCAGCTGCCTTGACAGTAACTGAAAACTCTTCTCATTGGAAAAACACAGGAGGAAACTGGGTGGATAAAAACTGGACATTGTTCAAGCATAAATTCACAAATCCTGCCATTTCAAAGTGACATTTTGATCTTTATCTGCCAGATGAGCAGTGTTTGACTGTAGAACTAATGGAACAGTGAAAAGTAAATGGCAGGGATGTTGTTAAAAGCAACCATCTGCAGCAATAGTGGGCAGTTTCATGGGTACAGTGGTTTGACACTTCTAATGTGAGTCCAAGCAAGTTTCCCAACTTTGTTGTCAGAAAAGAAGGAATACAACGTAAATATTTTTGTTTTCTATATTAAGCTTTCCCTGTTATGTAAACTAGCCTCTTTTAAGCCTTGCTTTGGTTTTCCTTCATGCTGCTGGCAAAGTTTTGTACTGTAACACAGAGCAAAATGCACAACTTTTTTTAAAATTTCTTCCCCACTTTGTCCTTACAAGGGATTTTAATTGCCCCTGCATCATGGTTTAACCCCACATTCTAATTAAACACTGTGTTCGTCTTTAAAATATGAGATAGCAATTAGACCTGTACCACCATGTCATGGTTTAGCCCCAGGGGCAGCCATCTCCACATAGCCACTCGCTCACTCCCCACCAGCAGGATGGAGGAGAGAATCAGAAGGGTAAAAGCTAGAAAAACTCATGGGTTGAGATAAAGGACAGTTTAATAGAGAAAGGAAAAGCCCTACACACAAACAAAGCAAAACAAAGAATTAACTCACTGCTTTCCATGGGCTGGAGGTGTTCAGCCATCTCCAGGAGAGCAGGGCTCCATCATGCATCATGATTGCTTGGGAAGACAAATGCCATCCCTCTAGATGTACCTTCTTTCTCCTTCTTCCCCCTTCTTTCTTGCCTCCACTTGATACAGTGAGGCTGGTGTTACGACACCAGGAATAGTATGGAATATCCCTTTGGTCAGTTTGGGTCACCTGTCCCATCTGTGTCTCCCTCCAACCTCCCATATACCCCCAATTTCCTTGCCAGTGTGGCAGTACAAGAAGCAGCAAAGGGCTTGGCT